AATGATACCTAATGAGCATCAGTCCATGGACATCATGTTGGAGCTGTGGTGGTAAAACAGAGTGGTACTACCTGAGGTAGGATGCTTCACATATGCACAAACTCAGGTAACTCAAATGCAGCCGTTACGTGGGTGTAAGGGCACTGCAGGTTTCCTTTAGCCAGTTGCATATACTGTAGGACATGGAGTCAGTTGGAATACAAGGCCCAAAGCTGGGGCCGATATGTAGTGCCTTGGTGCAAAGAAGGAAGGACAGCAAGGCAGAGTTCTGACAGTTACCTTGTACTGGGGTTTTTGACAAATCCAGTGTTTATAAAAACAGGACAGAGACACGTAGTTTTTATTCCGTCCTTTCCCAGGGTAGACAGCTCCTCTGTCAGAGCTTTATGAAATCCAACTGCAGCAAACTTGCTTGAACTGTGGGAGAGGAAAAAGCAGAAATGAGAAGGCAGAAATACTGTTTCTAGCTTTCTACAAAGGGAAATGGCCTAAAAGATCATACAGTGCTGACTAGGAGACAAAGAAATGTAATCCAGCTGAGAAGAGAGGGCGGAGAATAATTCTAACTTCCCATGTGCCAGAGTGTAGTGCTGGATTAGGTACTGCTGCTTGGGGGAGTAATTATGGAGCGCAGAGCAGGTGTCTTTCAGAAAAAGTCGTCTGAGTTGTGAACAGACAGATGAACGTCAGGAACTCTTAGAAAATGATACCTAATGAGCATCAGTCAATGCATTTCCTGTTTTTCCCATGTGAGAAGGAATTCAGCCTGATTGCAGAAGGACGGGCAGGTAGAAATGGAGAACAACTCTCTACTGTTTCTCATACTGCACTGGAGCATTGCGTGACATTTACATGTGAGTTTTGAAACGGAAGAGCATTATGCATGCACAAGTTGAGAAACGTACTGCCACAGAAATTGGTGCAGGCCAAGAGTGTAAATGGAATCCAAAGAAAGTAGAACCAGAGAGTGAGTTTATTGACTGTTGTTGGGTTGGACAGTGTAATCCCAGTAAAATTCCAGGCTCAGGAGCTCTCATATTGCCAACAGTGAGTGGATCTCGGGAGGAGTGTTCCCAAGGACAGACTGCTCCACCTGGAGCTGCTGGTACAGAGGGCTGATCTGACACAGAATGACAATGTGCAATCTGACAGTTTTTATCTTCGTGCACTGTGATTCAAGTGCTGTGAGTAGAAATAGTCAGTGCATCAGCCTCTCAGTTTCATCAGTTAGGTTGCCTACAACACAGTAAGCATTATCAGGTTTTTACCTTCTGAGAGGTAATTTTACAGCCAAAAAGCAATTTTATCTCATGATGGCAGAGGTATTTCTGTACACGAGTCACTGCCACAAGATCTACTCTGTAGGGGTTTACTTGACAACGCTACACAACTCACAGAAGCACCACTTTCTAACAAGGAGAAGAAAAGAGGATACCTTTTCTACCAAGCAAAAGCCTGGATCAGTGAGGGAGAGAAGAAAGGAGAAGCTTTCATTAGTTGATTTGTACATGAGTACAAATCCTTGATACAAGCGTAGCTCCTGAGGCAGTCAGAGCTCATAAGCAAACTGGTGGGAACTTCCAGGCATCCTTAGGTGCTGCCTGTTGTGCTTTTTTCCTCCCTAGCACCATGCCTTGGACGTACCGTATTCAGTGGGAGGATTTGTTTTTGTTACTCTGGGCTTGCTGATGGAGAAGACGCAATTAAAAATAAAAAAACCCAAAGAGAGCTGATTTTAAAATCACTTACCAGTAAGCCACCATGAACGAAATCACAAAATGACCTGCTGCCGAAGCCACCGTAACGATGTGACCGTAGTTGTTGTTCATCATGGCTGGCAGAAAAGCTCTTGTGGGCTTGAAAGTCATTTAAACCAAGAGGCAAAGATGTGGGGGGAGGAAAGGGAGGAAGACAACAATGTTTTCTTAGGAATATTCATCACTGACCCTGGCTATCATTAATTAAGTGACTAATGCTGTTGCTTATGGTGTGTGCTGCACAGCCCCTCAGATTCTGAGAGCCCCAGAGATCCCCGTTCAGCTGGTACAACTGGAAACCCATTTTCCAAATGGGAATGTTTCAAGAAATCAGCTGATTCTCACATTTTTCCTATGCTGCTTTTTAGGTTTCAGGTGTCAGCAGCAACACTGATGAAGTCCCACCCCAGCACATGGAATAAAATGCTCGTCAATCTGTAGCAGTTCTTTTCTGCTGCTGCAAACCACAAGATAAAGAGAGCGAGACAAAAGGGACAAAGCAGGAGGAGAGGTAGGATTGATGGGACATGGGCTTGGAAGTAGCATCAGAAGCCAGCAGGCAAGGTGGCGACACAGCAAGTCACAAACTGCGAGGGGAAGGGTGCTCCAGGAAATTCCCCGACCTGGTGGGTGCAGTCTGGGAGGGGCCGGGCCTCCCTGTGCCTTATGGCCGGGCTGTGCTGGGCGCTGCGGGGCTGGCCCTCCCCTGCTCTGCCAGACCTGCCTTTTGTGCGGGTCAGCCAAGAACAACATTGCTGCGTATTTCTCAGCTGCGTGTCTTCTGCCTGCGGGGTCTGGGTGCTCAGCCACGGGTGTCCAAACTACCCGATGCGAAGAGGAACCCTAATACACCTCTGACAGAGACCGACCCATGTTCGGATGGATCCGTTGCCGGTTAGCTCATACAGAGAAAAGAGATTGAAAAGAGAGAATGAAAAAACTGAGCCAGGCTCAGATAGGCAAGAGGTTAATCAAGTTTCAAGTCAGTCTAGCTGGGTGCTCCTGTGCTATACACATCCAAAAGATGCTTTTGTAATTCACTGGTAGCTGAAAATAATTGTTAGTCAAAATATGCCTCCTCAACAACACTCCCCCAAAAGTTGGGTATGAAGATGGTCCACATCCCTTACCCACATGTGAGCAAGAATGTTGACTTCAAACATTCTTTCAATCTGGTGGTCCTGAGTCGAGAGCAGGTCAGCAGTTGTAATCACACCAGCGTTATTCACCAGGATGGAGACATCCCCAATTTCCTTTTTCACCTTTTGGACAGAAAAAAAAAAGAAAGGTGTGTGTCATTTGCTATCAAAACACCTGCCAGGCTGTGGAAGATGAGTAACAATTAATTAAATTACTAATGTTGTTTCTTTTAGGGAAAGGAAGACCGTGCCACGTTTCCAGATGGGGTAGGAACTGTGCAGTAGTACCAAGAAATCTGGTTTAGATCTGACATTTTTCCCTTAATTACTGCCAGTATTAACCTGGTTTAGATCTGACATTTTTCCCTTAATTACTGCCAGTATTTACAGTCTTCCACACATTGCCCACGGGCACAGCCTGCTCTGGGTAGTCACAGGTGGGACTGTGGACATACAGGCTGGTCTGAGCCAGCTGGACCATATCTGTTACAAGAAAATGTTTCAAACATATCCCCAGTGTTGTCTGTGGGCTGTTCAGGAAACTAAAAGGCAGAAGTTCCTCCATGGGCTGGGAGTCCAACGAGCAAACTTGGCAAAGAGGCATGACACACTGGAGCCTCACAAAAGAGGATGGGATTGGCTGCGATCTCGGAAGTGCTCCTTCGCTCTCCGTACAGAAAGCACCAAGAAGCGGGGAGGTTCCAAGGACTCGCATGATTTGCAAGGGCTCGCATGATTTGCGTACAATACCTCTTGTCCCGTTTTCCGGACTTTTCTGAAAATCGAGCACGTTTGGGTAAGCCTTTGCAGGTGGCCGTGCTCCCCTACCTTCTCTGCAGCACTGTAGATTTCCTCCCTTTTGCTGCAGTCCACCACGAAGGCTTGAACAGTGGCTCCCAGCCTCTCGCATTCTGCTGCCGTGTCCTCCACGCCGTGCTGCAAGAGGCAGAAAACAGAGACAGGTATGTGCAACTGTACCGTGCCCGCGTGTTGCTGCCCGAGCACCATGGCAGAGCAGTTAGAGGCTGAAGATGTCTCTCGGTTGTGGAGCTGCTGTCAAGCCCCTGAATGGCTCCCGGCTACCCAGGAAAAGAGCTGTGGCCGGGGTCTGTGGAAGGACTAGTATTCAACCTTGAGTGTCCGCCCTGTGTAGAGCGCAGTTAGAGGCTGAAGATGTCTCTCGGTTGTGGAGCTGCTGTCAAGCCCCTGAATGGCTCCCGGCTACCCAGGAAAAGAGCTGTGGCCGGGGTCTGTGGAAGGACTAGTATTCAACCTTGAGTGTCCGCCCTGTGTAGAGCGGCTGCCAGAAACGGAATGTGGCAACAAGAGTGAGTGTGCCTTGGGAAAGCAGATGTAGGTGGGCTGCAGAAAGGGGGCACTGGGTGACTTCCACAGCACAGCAGGCAGATGCTGTGACTGTAAGCAGAGCTCTTAAAGCACAGGCCCTGCTGACACCCCCGAGATAGGACAAGCGGCCCTACGTGTTTCTGTATTCACAGACTGGATGTGAGAAGAGAGGTGTGCTGCAAAGTGCACAATGTAGAGAGATGTTTCTTACGAGAACAGCATTTGGCACAGACAGAACGAAAGTTGCCCTAAGTCATAGTATCAAACCAGTAAGCGAAGGCAGAAGTGAATATGGACAACACTCGACTTGGCAGCAGCCCTTTACACTTTGGGAGGCTGGTGCCATGCCTCCTTCTACCCCTCCAGGGTCTGTCCTTGGCGTAATGGGTAGCATGAAGAGACAGTGAAAATATTCGACAGTATCCTCCCTATTTATATGTTCCCTTATGCTGGGCTTATCTTGGGGTTATTGTGCTTGTTTGTGGTTGTGCTGTAGTGGTCCTTTTCTAGCTCAAATGAAATCCAGTGCTTAGCACTGGTAGCAAGCCTTGCTGAAGCCTTAGGCCACAAGCTGTGAACTTTCACCTGACATGCTTTCAGCTGGGACAGAGTTAATTTTCTTCTTAGTAGGGAGTAAGGTGCTGTGTTTTGGATTTAGTAGGAGAATAATGTTGATAGCACGCTATTGGTTTAGTTGTTGCTAAGTAGTGTTTATCATAAGTCCAGGACTTCTTTAGTTTCCCATGTTCTACAAGAATTCGCGTGATAAGGAAGCTGCACCCATCAGCAGAAGTTGTAACTCAGCAAGATAAGAACAGTTAATGGCCTGCCTGGAGACAGAGAAAAAATCCAATAAGGTTTTAGAAGACTTCAGACCAGGAATAACTGTTGGTCCAAAAGGACCGTAAGGAACGTATGAGGGACGGGTGCCTAGACTGTAAGGGT